GTGCCTGGCAAGCACAGAGTCCTGAGTTCAATCCCCCTTATCACTAAAAATAAAAATAAAAAAGGAGCTGCCGATGTAGCTCAGGGCTGAGGCCATGGAGTCAATCCACACTACTGAAAAAAAAAAAAAAAAAAAAAAAAAAAAAAAAAACGAAAACGAGATACTTTAATTATTTGGTTTTGTTTTGTTGTACTAGGGATTGGGTGGAGACACATCGGGTGGCGGGATTCCGACGACCAGTCTAGGCAGCGGGCAGGCCTTTGAAAGTCATCTAGGTAGACACGACAGATGAAACCAAGGGAGTGCGCTGGGTCCCATCAGTATTTACGAGGCAAAAACAGAGCCCGTGTGGACGCAGGCAGATGTAGATGCTTTGCGATAAACAAGTTGCGTTATTTCACCCCACCGCGTTGTCCCAGGAAGGAGTGGCCAGGGATGCGGGCCACGCACCGACATGGGAGGGAAGGAGGGAGGGAGGGAGGGAGGGAGTAAAGCGACACATCTTCGGTGGCCATTCTGGCCCCGGGGTTAAGGCTCATGCCCGAGACGCGCCAAACCAGAGGTCAGGCGAGCGCGGGGCGGCGGGAGCCCGCAGAACCCAGCGCCCGCGCGTGAAGCGCCTCGGGTACCCACGAGGTCAGGGAGGGCGCTCCACGTCCAGGGGCCGCGACAGGAGCCAGGGAGTCTCAAGATTTTAGGGGTGGAGGTTTTGGAGGTCTCCCAGCCCGAAAACCCGCCTCGAACTTCTCCCTTCTCCAGGCCGTGGGCACCCCGAAAGTACTTTATTCTTAAGATTCTCACGGGCGGGGAGAAGGAGATAGGGGATCCGGGACCCCGCCGCCAGAGTCGCCCGGGCCGCGCTCCAGGCCGGGACCAGCGCTGGGGTCTCGGAGCGGCTCTCCAGGGGGCGCCCCCAGCCCCGGCCGCCCCCTGCAGGGCCCCGGGCGCCACCCCCACCCCCACCCCCCAGCGCACTCACCGCTCGGAGTCCGAGTAGTGGCATCGGCCCAGCAGGTTGAGCTTGCAGAGGTGCAGGTTTTCGCAGGGTCTGTCGCAGAACTTGCGACGGCAGACGCGGGCTCGGGTGGTGGCCACCACCGAGCGGGTGACGCCGGCCCTGTCCCCAGTCTCCAGCACCAAGAAGCGGTCGGGCCCGGCGTCCTTGAGCACCTCCAGGAGCTGCGCCTCGGAGAGCTCGATCTTGCCGAGCAGCGCTTCCAGGCTGAGGCGGCCGCCGTGGGCGCACAGGATCTTGGTGATGAAGCAGCAGACCGTCGGGTCCGCCATGGCGCGCGAGAATCGAAACTTAGGCGGCCCCGGGCGGCGCCTCGGCAGAGCTCAGCGCTTTCGCTTTCCTACTCGCCTCTAGGGCCCAGAAGCCAAGTCGCACCGACGGGGTCCTGGAGTCCGACTGAGAAGTCAGCGGCGATGGCGAGCGGGTGGAAAGGAAGGCAGCAGGCGCTAGCAAATCCGCGGCGACCACGGCACTGCTCCCGCAGGCGCCACCCCTGCCTGGACTCCGGGACCGACGAGGGTGAGGCTACCCGCTGAGCGTGCGACGCTGCGAGGAAAGAAGAGGAAGTAAGAGTGATCTTGGGGCTCTGGTGGAGGCTTTTATACCCAGCCCTGGAAGAGGCGAGTGACGTGCGTCGGGGGCCACTGGGCGTCCTCTCGCTCTTTGCCCCACCCAGCCAGAAAAAGCTGACCCCGGGCGCGCAGCCTCCAGTGCGGGCGAATCTTCGCGAACATCCCACGGCTTCGAGATCGTTTCCTCGCCGCCCACTTGGGGCAATGTCTTGAGCAAACATGTACGGCCATCAGACGGAACCGGGGTGTCACCCTGGGTTCCCCAAATCTGGACCCCGCGCCCCAGATCGCGATCTGCCTGGTCTAGATCGCTGTGCACTTCCTTCCGCGCCTCAGATCCCTCTTAAGATCAGCGATGGTTTCTCTCTTTTACTTTCTCGGGAGCTTTGTGAAGAACCACTTCTTAGCCCATTCTGGGCTGCCCCAAACCACTGCCTGATAGCTAAAATTCACAAGCGGGCAAGTTTAAACGCATCCCACGATTTCAGACGGCCCCTTACCACGTCCCGACTTGGCCAAAAGATTATTTGTGAGTGAGAACATGTAAGCTTCAGAAGATGCAGGAAGAAGTTCAATCTGACATTCTTGTATCTAACTAACGCCTCCCTGAAACACAGTGCGAGCGCGCACGGGCACACACACAAACACGCGCACACACACACACACACACACACACTCATATACCTCGCTAGCTAGCAATGTCCTGTCCATTCAGCCACTAAGAAGAGGAATTGTTGCATTTACATTAGCAACAAAAAAGGGTGGAAACTTCCATCCAGGCTCACTGAAAGCCTAAATACTACTCAACCCTTTGTTGTTGTTGTCGTTAAATTGAGATATACAAATCTTTATTTTGAGCTATTTCATGAGTTCTCCCTCACTGAAAGCTCCTGAGTGCACTCATGAATAAACTGGTGTTTCATTCTGTTAATTTATTTTAAGATATTTGAAAATCCCCAAACTTTGAACTCCAAGTTGGAAAAGAAAAAAAAAAAAAAAAAAAAAAAAGGATTTCCTCCCAACACACTAAAATATAACAAATAGATCATTAAATGTACAGGAGGGCTGGGGATTTAGCTCAGTGGTGCAGTGGGCTGGCAAGCTTGAGACTGTGAGTTCAATTCCCAGTACCTAAAAAACAATAAACTAAAATATACAGATTTCCTTATAGGATTTTTTTTTTTTTTTTTTTTTAGAAAGAGTCTCACTATGTAGTTCAGGCTGGCCTAGGGCTCACTTTATAGCTCAGGCTGGTCTTGAACTCACAACAATCCTCCTGCCTTGGCCTGGTAAGTGCTGAGATACAGGTATGCACCACCACTCCCATAAAGAATAAATGTATTTTTTAAGAAGTAATAAAAAATAAAGAAATAATAAAATTCGTGATCTGGGCTGCAGCTCACAGGTAGGGTGCTTGCCTAGCAGGTATAAGGCCCTGTTAAATCCTTAATGCAATAATAATCAGTACAGTTAGAAAGGATGGAGCTGAAAGAGTCACTCTCTTCCCTCTGTTTAATTTTTAAGAGTCCCTAGGCTCATTTCTGCTTCCACTGTCCTAAGAGAGGTGTAAAATAAAATAACATAAACCCAGGAGATCTCTGATGCTCCAGGCGAGAGCATGCCTATTGGATCTTCTAGCCTAACATCCAGTCATGCTCACCCTAGTCCCACCTCAGTACGGGTTCATAAATAAGTACTACATCTCATAAAATTAAGATCAGAGTGAATTCTGGGCTGTACACGTGTGCTGAGAGCTCCTAAGATAACGCCGCACCCTGTCAAGCATTCCTGTCAGTCACACCTAATGATTCAGGGGGAGGCCCCTAAGGGGAGGCCCCTGGCCTTTAAATTCCAAAAGCCTGGTTTTATCTACATGCTGCTGTTGCTGCTGCAGCCAGCTGAGTCTCTTTTGTTACCCTGGCACTTTTTCTATCTCTGCCATGTCTTTTGTTGTCATGGACCTGCCCTGAGCACAACTTCCCAGGATCTTCAATAGATGTAACTGCTCGCTTCTTACTACTGGGTGTACACTGGTAATTCTTTCCTGATCATACACAACAGCTTGAACTACATTGGCCCGGCCCATGGCAATAACACTAACAATTACTGTAATAATAATGTAATAGAGACCGGGCGTGGTGGTGCACACCTGTAATCCTGATGCTGGGGAAGCTGAAAACAGAAGGATCACTACAAGGCCGAGTTGTGTAGTGAGAACCTGTACCAAACACAAAAAAAAAATGATGATGATGACGATGATGTAATATGTTAGCAATGGCCCTTGGAATGAAAATCAAAACTGAAGCAAGGACTTTCAGCCGAAAGATTTTCGTTAAAAGTAAGAGAAAATATAGGCAAGCATACCTCTGCCAAAGATCAAGCTGGTCCAGTCACAAAGAAAGTAAGAACAAAGAGGGAAAGTGCTCCAGCTCAAGTAGCTGGAGGGGACACGCTCTGATGTAGGGTTTAGACTGGCTCATCCACAAATGCAGGAGGCCAGCTTTTAAGGACTCAATGAAGTGCATCAGGGCCAGGTCGATCATTATCGGGCTTGTTTTGAATCTTCCAGGCTTGAGGGGTGATTCCATTCCCATGAAAGGAAGGTTTCTGCTTGGGTCAGTGAGTCACGTGAGGCTCTGCCTTTCTTGGAATTCAAGTGACCACAGGTTTAGGACAATGGCTGGAGACTTCTAAGCAGTCACTGCATTGCTAGGAGGGGGTCTGGAACTGAACGTGGTAAACATTGCTGATGACCAGAAGTTCCTGTGAATCCCGAAAGTTCCATCAGTTACTCTTATTGCAGTGTCCTCTGTCTTGAAGGGAATGGCACCGGTTAGGCAGATTTACAGCTAGTAAACTCTGTGCTGCTCACTTTTAGATAGACTCCTTAAATGACTAACAAACTTATAGGCAGAGCTAAGAAGAATTTGACCCTGAGTTTTACAAAATAGAGGTCAAGCTTTGTTCTGCTTACTGTCACCTATTGGCAATTGTAGATCTGGGTGAGCAGTCAGGTGTTTTAGAAAAAAAAAAAAAACTGCTCTTAAGTAGTCTGAATGGTGCAAACACAAATACAATCAGTGCTTTAATGGGTAAGTGATTTGTCCTTTGTCCCTATGATGGTCTTTATGCCATGACCATGTCAACAATAATAGTAATAACAACAACAAACTAATGGCCAAATAACATTCTTTGAAAACATAATGGTACTTCAGTGTGGTGATTGATGGGAAATGAATGAATCTCTCAGGAATAGGGTACTGTGGTAAGAAAACCAGCCAAACCTGGGGCCCTCCTAACATCCTCTGACTTGTTGTTGCCTCTGGCTGATGTATCTTTAATCCACTTGGCCTTGTTTGTGGTCTGACAGGTTCCCAGGGACCTTGTAATATCAAATTGATTAAGTTTAATGTGTTTGTTGGCTAGCTGACTTTAGACAGTCCACTAGGCATGCGCAGAAGTCTAAGAAACAGTCCCTGCACTCAAAGAGCACTGGGATCTGTGGCTAACGCAGTAGGGGGTTTAAGAGTACAGAGTCCTGGTGAGAGAGAGTGCTTGGAAGCACAGAGACAACTCCTTCCTACTTACAGTCACGTCAAACACTTGGCATTGTAGGAAGGAAAGACAAAGGAGACATTCAGGGAATTTTCGAAATAGGTGTTGTCACAGCCCAGCTTCTTCAGAGAGAGACACTGACAAGGAATTTGGAATGCAGAGTTTCTGGTTGCAACATCGAAATCAAAGGAGAAGACATGGTGGGACTAGGGAGCAGCCACATGTCCATGCACACGTGACAAAGTCTTCAGCAGCCCACTAGGGAGCTCTGGAGCTGGAGTGCAACCATGGTCAGAAAAGGCGAGGCCCTTGTACTACACTGGCTTGCTGTCATTGGTGTGGGGGGGGGGCACCAGAGGAGAGTAGGACTGTAGCTGCAAGCTGGGGACAGATCCAGAAGAGCTGAAGCTGTGTGTTACCAGCTTAGCATGCTCCTGCAAGCTGAAGCTGGGCAGTGAGCCTTGGCTTGAAAGGCAACCTGAAAGACACTTGTGTGAGCTGTAGTCTATCCCCTCATCACATGGATGCCTTTCTGCGTTTGAATGCAGGAAATAGTGACTTTCACAACTGTTCCTCTTATAAGAGAATTTAGAAGAAGGAAGTTAGTAGTTGTACAGAGCCCTTTCTGGTTCTCATCTTGAGCCAGGAAGTTTATATTGGTAATTCCATGAGTAAGTTATTGGACTCGCGTCAAGTTAATTCCAATCTACCACATCCAGAGCAACCCATGGCAAGAGCAAAGACATTGAAGCATATTTGTAGTTATGGGAGCCAAGGGGTCTTAAGTCCAGCCACGGTGATGGCTATCCAAAGAAGAGGCCTCAACCCAGGGCCAAACCTGGGTTTTATTCAGTCATGAAGGAGTGGCTTGAGGATGAATGACTGAGAATGGCAGAAAGTAGGTGAGTACTGTGAGCTGGGCTAGAAGGAGGCCTGTATTTACTTCTGCGATATGCAGAGAGAATGATATGCAGAGAATAATCTGCATTATACAATTGAGATAGTATCTAATGTTTTGGGGGCTGGTGCTTCAGCTCTGATGTGTAATCTTTCAAGCCCCAAGAAGTCATAGCCTCTATCTCAAGTCTCAATCCTAGCCAACAGCATGGAGCACTGGCTGTTCTTCCCATTGACTCAACCTGGCTCATATTAAAGAGCTGCAGGTGGGGGTTTCTGGGGAAGCATGGGTGCCATCTTTAGCAGCACCTTGGCTAGAACAATGTGCATCACTTAAAGCCAACTGAAGGGATAAGGAAAAGTCCGAGCCAGCACTGTACATATCAATACGTGGAAATAGGATCAAGCACAGCCAAAATGGAGACAATTGCTCTTCTTTCAAGGTGAGTCACCCAGGTGGTCCCCCACAAGTGGTATGGCCCCTGTCATTGCAATTGGCCTCAAGAACACAGCTGGTCCTCATCATATACCTCCATGATCTAGTCAAACCCCATCTCACACTTGGCTTCAACCTCTGCCAACCTCAGAAGCTTACTAGGTCACACATCTCAGTCTTCATTCCTGAAGGGCCTGAACACATTCTCCAGCTGGGGTTGCTGCTGTTGTCCATTCTCAGTCATGTCTGGGTAATGGGGAGACCAAGAGATATCCAAGCAAATCACTGGAATTCCCTACATATTCCACCCTGCCCCACTGGGTACCAGCAACCCTAGCCCCTTTTGCTGATGAGCATCAAGTGATTCTCACAAGATGGCTATTCCTTTACCTACATGCTGGTTTCTTAAAATACTTTGGAATAAGACAATAGGAAAAAAAAATGGCTTAAGAACCTGGAAGGAATCATCAAGAACTCACTTTTTTTTTTTTTTTTTTCCAGAACCGGGGATTGAACTCAGGACCTTGCGCTTGCCAAGCAAGCGCTTATTCTACTGAGCTATCTCCCCAGCCCAAGAATGCACATTTTGAAGACTCAAAGTTATTGCTAAAGTAAAAGACTGTCTTGAGAAGAGAGCGCCAGGGCACCCTGATGAAGGGTCTCCAGGGGCTTTAACTCCCCAGATTTCAATTTACCTTGTTCAGATTTACCTTGCTCAGTAGGTTCTCAGATACCTCTGTAACCACTAACAAGGT